AATTGAACTCAAGAAGAACAGGAAACAGGAGGCCCCTGAAAACCTCAGGATAGGCAACCCACGTGAGAAGACATATTGGGAAATCTTTTTCAACATCTGACCTCAAAACAGTTCCTCAAAGTTAAGTACTACTGAATAAACAGCTTTACTAAGAAATAATTGAAGCTTAGTAGTGGTGCACACCTGTAATTCCAGTGATGTGAGAGGCTGAGGAAGATTGCAAGTTCAAGGCCCACCTGGGCAACTTAGTGAGACCTTGTCTCAAAATCAAAGATAGAAATGATGGGGATGGGATTGTGGCTGTGGCTCAGTGGTAAAGCGCCTGCCTTGCATGTGTGGGGTACTGGGTTTGATCTTCAGCAACACATAAAAATAAATAACTAAGGATATTGTGTCCACCTACAACCAGAATTTTTTTTTTAAATGATGGGAGGGGGGGCAGGCAAGCTGGGGATATAGCTTAATTGGTAGACTGCTTGCCTCATGTGCACAAGGCCCTGGGTTCAATCCCCTGCACTGCCAGAAAAAAAAAAAAAAAAAGAGAGATGATGATGAAGATGTAGCTCGATGGTAGAGTGCCTTTGGTTCAATCCTCAGTACTACTACTACTACTACTACTACTAATTTTTTATAACATTGAGCAAAAAATACAAATAGCTTTGGGCATCTTGGAGATGTCTGAGAAGAAAAGCAGACAGTGTAGAATACTGCTACCAATAATTTAGAGTAGGCTACAAGGGCAGAAGCAAAACAAAACATACCCATAATTTTTGGTCAGAACCCATATCTCAAAATGAATGAATGAATGAATGGGGCAAATCCGAGCCAATAAGCACATGCCTTAGCTTATTGCCACTAGCTAAGGTTTGTGCACTTTTTCCTTAAGCTGTGGGGCTTTCTCTTATCCCCTTCCCCAGAGTTAACAAACATAGTCATTGAATATTTAACAAACATATTTAGTCGTATCCACTAAGACATTCTAAGGCTCTGTACAAAATACAAAGTTGAATAAGTTATGTCATCGTCTTCAAAGAACTTTTAATCCAATGGCATAAGGTAGTTCATGATATTTCCAAATTAAGTGATATAAGACATTGCTCCAGGAGGACAGTGAAAGAACATAAACCCTCAACTTGAATGGTGTCACATGGTGCTACACTAGACTTAGTGTGTATGTATTTTACTAGAGGCAGTGAGAATAATATAGACAAACTTTTAAGCTAGACAATTAGGCTCCAAAGATCAGAAGCAGAATCCAGCTTGGTAGTCTTACTAATTTCCTCATTTGATCTGAAAAGTTTTTATATCCTCAAGTCTCTTAGTCACCATTGAAGTTTTTTATTTTTTCAGTCCAAATCACTTGCTATTAAGAAAAATTCTTCTGATTCCCTCCAACTCTTCCATCACTAGCTCCTATATCACCCCACCCCATCTTCTAGACCCAGAGCCAGCAAACCTAACAGACACTCCAATTCATAAACCAGCCATCGGCTACAACTCATATAAAAATATATCATCATGGGGCTGGAGATGTGGCTCAAGCGGTAGCGCGCTCGCCTAGCATGTGTGTGGCCAGGGTTCGATCCTCAGCACCACATACAAACAAAGATGTTGTGTCCGCCAAGAACTAAGAAAAAATAAATAAATATTTTTTAAAAATTCTCTCTCTCTCTTTCTCTTTAAAAAAAAAATATATCATCATGCATTAAAGTACATACAATGGAGATCAATGGAGATCATGTCATCATACTGAGCAAAGTCCATTGTCCAGTTTGGTCTTTTAAACTGTAGCAACACAGAGACAGAAAGAAGAGCAAGTAATACTAGGCCCTAAAAATAGCACTTCTATAAGRTTGACCACTTGCAAGCAACTGGGAATTACAAGAAGCGTTTTAGTCTATTATATAAAATCAGCACAAACCCTACAGTATTCGACTGATTCTGAGTGACTCAGAAAAGCCAAAATATACTTCAACTTTCTGCCAGCTTTCTATCTCCTCAGGTATTTAGGAGGAAACACCTTTCTTCTCAAACTAGCCACACCCAGCACAACAAATTATAAACAGCCAAACTCCATCAAGTGCATTTTTGATGGGATTTCTTCAACTCAAGCTAATAAACCTTAACCACTAAGCTTTCCAACTGGATAAACCCAGGATATTAAAAAGTAAAGCTGTGGAAGCAGGGAGGTGTTTGTGCTCTTACAAATAAGATAATCCTGTGCCAAACCTGAGGAAAAGGTTGATTCTTAATCAGCAGCTAGAGAGTTATTTCCCCTACAAGTGTTTGGAGACATTTATTCTATGAAACAATTTCCGACTATGACACACATTCTCCTTGGTTTTGACTCAAGCTTTTATGAGTTTTTATCTGGGGTTTCTGGACCCTTAGAGACTCTGTGGGGAGGCTCTCCAGTAGCATGATTCTCACTGTTCTCACCAGTCTAGCAGTATAGAGAAATCCATCTTCTCCTTTCTGAAGGGGAAAAATGAGTAAGGCAAAGGCCTATTTGAAAGTATGGAACTGCAATAATGAAGTCTCAGCTCTTCTATTTGATGCCAAGTGTCAGCAACTTAGAATCTGAAGGGAAAAATCACAATAACTTCCTTTGTAGTTCTCTTCTTGTTAAAGCTATCCCAACAGAAGAGGTCTTTTCCGTCCCAACAGAGACAGATAAACTTTCCTAATGACGTATAACCAACAGAACAAAACAAAATAAAAAAATCACCATACAGGCATATGAGAGATGTTCATGCCAGCCTGTTTTCAATACCAACTTTCAAATACATCATAGATACATGGTCAATACAGTTACAAAACAGCATTCAATTTATTTCATGTACCCCAGAAACCCTAATTAAACAAAAGCAAACTAGGTGCATGCCTAAAAACCAATCTCTTGGAACTGGTTTGGTAAGAGGGCATTTTTAAGGACCTTTTCAATCCAAAATGACTACAAACTTTGTAAACATCAATCATGCTCCCAACTTTTATGAGCAGTAAAAGGGAATTAAATTTGAGCACAGTGAGAGGAACAAAACCTGTAAATGACATTAGGGACAAACGAACATTAAGGACAAAATGTAACAACTTTGACGAGTACCACCACCAGAAAAAACAAAACAAAACAAAAAAACCACCCTAACTAACAAAGTCTCTAGCTATGAAGATGACTATTAAGTTCACCAGAATGATCTCACCTAGATGGGAAAGGATAATGCAGTAGAGTGTAAAATTTTCAGTCTGACTTTATACTACAGTAGTCAAAGAAAATTTCCTAGGGAAACAGAGAACAATTTACTAGCCTAGAAAGAAGGGCAAATTCTTTTCTTTATTAATCTGAGACTACACTGGTTAATACAATATATATGATGTGGCTACAGAGAAAAGGCAAACAGAGGAGTCAGAAGCTTGAAGGAGCTGCTGACTTCCATTTTAAGAGGGGGAAATAATGGTTGTTTTCTTATAACATCACTATCAGACTAAGTTTTGTGGAAGGATATTTTTTTGGGGGGCAGGGTGCCAGGGATTGAACCCAGGGGCTCTTAACCACAAAGCCACATCCCCAGCCCTTTTTATATTTTATTAGAGATAGGGTCTTGCTGAATTTCTTAGGGCCTCGCTAAGTTGCTGAGGCTGGGTTTGAACTTGAGATACTTCTGCCTCAGCCTCCAGAGATGCTGGGATTATTGGCATTTGCCACTGCACCTAGCTTTGTGGAAGGATTTTTAAAAAGGGTCTTGATAAGTAAAGATGAAAGCAGGGCATTCCAGGAGGGTACACAATGTAAACAAGGGCAGGAAACAACACAGCCCCTAAGGCATGAATAATTCACTTTTCCATAAGGGAGTTTTAGGTAAAATGAGGCAAGACTGAAGAAACTGAAGATAGCCTAAAAGCCTGCTTATGATGGTATTCTTTATCCATTAGCAATGGGGAGTGAGCCTTGTTGCTTCCTGTTCGTTTTCTAAGATTCTCTCCTACTTGTAGGCAAAGTGGTCACTTATTTATTTATTTACTCCCTAGGAATCATGTCATTTCCTGACCACTGAGAACAAAATGTTTTCGGTTTCTACTCTGTAATTAGATAATTTTGTAAAGGTCTATGTTAAGATGGACTTCCACAAATATCCCCAATTTTAAGAGTGAGTCCCCAAGTACCAACCACACTAGGGGTCCATAGAAATTACTCCTAGATGGGACAGAATAATGAAATTAGTGGCTGCAAGCCGGGAACCCTGACATTGCAATCTGTACAATCTGTTTAGCGCCACCCTGTCTAAATTCCTGGCAGTGTACAGATACTACAAAATCTCAGGAACAGTGGTTGCACCATCATACCCTAACCAGCCCCTATCAAAAGAGAAAAGCRGTGGACAGACCCCATTATTACTTCAGCTTAGAAAAGAACCAACCATCTCCATTCTCATTTGATCGAAGACCGCAGCCTAAATATTCACCGTGGTGCTTCCTAATCCATCTTCCAAATACTTGAGGGAAATGCTATGGTTAATTTAGTAGAGTACCAAGGCCTCCTTTTGCTCCCTGACATCAGAAACTGTAAACCCAAATTCTCCCTGTCAATTTCCTATACTCCCACGAAGCACTTCGTAAACACCAAGGGCGTGAAGACCCCAATTCAGCCTACATCAATCCTAGATTTCTGAGCGAATGAAATTTCGTTTCCCCAAAGTAGTTTGGATTTTGCTCACACTTCAGCTTTTAGGGTTACCTAACGACAACTGTCCACCAATCTCCGCCCCCCACCACATCAAGATGAGAGTACTGTCAGGTCTGACTCGCCGAAGACTAGAGGTCTGGGAACCTGACGCTCCCGCGGTCACCCAGGGCGGGTGGGTGCTCCCGGCTGAGAGTGGAGGTTCTGCAACCCAGGCCCGCACCCCCACTCGCAGGCTCAGCTTTGGTCGTCCGGTAGCGACTAGGGCCGGAACCGGGCGTCCCAACCCCCCGTGGGGTTGAGGACACAGCACTCACCAGGGATGCCGGGCGCCGGGGGACAGCTGGGCACCAGCAGCCCACCCGCACCGGGGCTGCGGATTTGGAGGCCGCCTCGCAGGCGGCGCGCAGTGGGAGGGGCCGGAAATGTTTACCAGCCCGACCGCCGGGAAGCCGGGAGGCCCGCGCCCGCTCCAGCGCGGGAGCCGGGGACCCTGGGGACCTCGAGGCGGGCTACTTCGCGGCTGTCCCCTCCTCAGGCCTGGGCTGGGGCTGCYGGAGAACGCGCGCAGGCCGAGTCCCCGCCCACCGGCCAGCCCCGAGGAAACTTACGGCCGGGTGGGCAGGCTCTGCTGGGGGCCGCGGTCCCCCAGCTACATCCCGCGGCACTGGAGGTGGCCTGCGGCCGAGCGGCCCGGGATTTTCAGCGCCCTCCCAGCGCCGGAAGGGGCGCGCGACCACACGGCGTCACCTCCGCAGCCGCGTCACCTCCTCGAGGCTCTACCTCACCCCCTCCAATCCCAGGCATTCCTCCCGGAGTCCCAATCGCGGGCCCGCTCCCTAGGCCCCACCCCACGGGCCCGCCTTCCCGGAGGGGCCCACCTCCCGACTCTGCTCCAATCGCTCACGCCGACCGCCCCCAGCTTGGCGCTCGCGCTGTCCAATTGCAGACCCTACCTCGCCGGGCTCCAACRGTGGCGCGTGATGGAGAAGGAATTCCAGAGAATTAGACCGTACCCTGGGAAGGAATGCATAATTTCCCATCAAACGCCTTGTCTAGGACGAGAAATAACTTACATCTTTCCTATTATCAACGCCTATCGTTTCATCTCCGGAACAGTTTTTAATACCTTCTCGAGTCTCGTGGTTTCCTCCCACTTCCTTGTGCCAGGCGCTGAGCTAGACTTTTGTTTTGGCTCCTGCTATTTCTCATCAGAAATGGCGGGATTTTTTTTTTTTTTTTAACCAGTCTAGCTTGAGAATTTCCAACCGTAGATCCTGCTCCCACGTGCACCCAAAGGGCATATCTGGGAGGCAATGTAGGGTGGGGCAACCCTGACACCCATGAACCACACACWCAGAAGTGATCTGTGGGGTACACCATTTTTCTTGTTCTCCCAAGGATGGTGTGCACTAACTCCATCCCAGATGCAGAGAAAGAAGCTCATTATGTTGGGTGGACACGTCAGGGCGGTGGGATCAGTGATGTTGGTGCTGGCTACAAGCGTGAGCTGAGGAGTCACACAGATCTAGTTTCCTTTTCCTAGCTAGACTATGATCGTAAGCATATTACTGAAGCCCTCTAAATGATAATTACCCCAGCTGAAAATGGGGAAAATAGTGTTATTTCATTAGACCTTTGTCAGGATTAAATGAGATCATTTTTGCAGGCTTTTAGTATTATGGCTGGCAAATAGTCAATGCTTCATAAACAAGAGCTGTTACTGTGTTGTCCACTGAGAAAACCCTCAGAAGCTTCCTGTTATCCTCCAGCTTTGAGTTAGTTTCTTCAGCATGGTCCTTTACAAGGTAATTCTAACCTATTATCAGGATTCATCTTCTTCCATTTCTCTCTGGCATTTTGGGCCTCAATGAACTTCTAGATTCTCCAAATGCAAACTTCTCTTTCATGTAGCTTTTGCATATTCTAAACCTTCTGCTGAATTGCCTACCCCACATTACCCAGTTGTCTGATGAAAGATCCAAGCCCAGTACTAGTTGGCCCCAAACAATCCTAAATTCAGATTCAGGTTCCATCAGCGGCTGGCCAGTTGTATTTCCTTTGGCAAATACTTAATCTTCAACTCACAGGATTAGCATAAATTCTTAGCATAGTACCCAGTACATGGGATGTTAACTCAAAGATGATAATTCCCTTTTTTCTCTTCCCCCTTCTCTGAATCTTTCTCAACTCCTTCCTGTCTATACCTTGTATGTATCTCTGTGATAACTTTTGTTGGTTGTTTGGAATATTGGGGATAGAACCCAGTGCTTTACACTGAGCTACATCCTGAGCCCAGACTTCAGGGCTGGGTCTCAAATTTTAAATCCTCCTGCCTCAATCTCCAGAATCACTGGGATTACAGGAGTGTGCCACCACACCCAACTCTGCAATAGTATCAATCACACTGTATTGTAATGATTGTCACTTGTCTACCTTGGATTGTGAGTTCTTTGTGGAGGGTCTAACACCAGTTTTGGACTTGTATCCTCAGGGCCCAGCACAGTGTTTACCATATGACAGGTCCTTAATAAATATGTGTATGTTGAGTGAAGGAGGCTCACTCAGTCTTGTGTGAAACAAGGACTGGTGAGTTTCCATGTAGAAAATTCTCTTAGCAGCCCAGTAATCCTAAGCAGGATTTTCCTTTCTGTCTAGGCATGATGCCTATCATCTCAGGGGCTTGGGAGGCTCAGGCTGGAGGATCCCAAGGTTAAGGCCAAAGTGGGCAACTTAGTGAGACCCTGTCTCAGAAATAAAAGGGACTGGGGATGTACAGTGGTAAAGTGCCCCTGCATTGAATTTCCAATTCCAAAAATATATTTTTTCCCTTTCTGTATTTGAGGTGGCTTACCAAACACAATGTCATACTAGCACATCAAGAAATTTTTGATGAAATACTACCAACAGAGTTGACTGAAGAATGTGAGGGTCCCACCAGCCATTCTCAGTGGCTCCATAGACAGAAACACACAGATCCATGAAGAAAAACAATGTCAGCCTCCCTCCTAAACGCAAGCATTGTTTTCTCCCAATGACACTAACACAAATCTGAGGAGGCTTCCCCAATTTTATCTTGGGAGAAAGGAGTGCATTGGGGTATGCTCTCATAGCAGAGAAGGATGCTTGGGACAGATAGTACTGGGGGAGGCCAACTTTGTTCAGATACCAAGTCTGTTTGGGGCTGGTGATGTCAGGTTACTTTTTAAAGACAGCTTCCCTTCCAAATGGAAAGGCAATCCTTTGATTTGTGTGCCAAATAACCTGAAGAATAAATATGGTGAGAGAAAGGCTAAGCGAAGGAAGAGGGGAAGAATGGCCAAATCAAAGGACCATTGGGAGGGGTACCTGTGCTCCCAAAACATATCTCTAGCATGTGTTCTCCTTCCCCCACCTCAGAAGCCTCCAGGGAAGAGTTGAGCTCTGGCTCTGCAGAAACAGCTGCTGAGATGACCACGGAGTCTGGTGGCAGCTCACATTTCAGCACACAGTACAACTGCTCAAAGGCTCTTTGGAAGACCCAGGAGATTTTGGGCTGGGAAGACTTTTCTCCCAAGATCCGTAGGCATTTTGAAACAAGGACCCGAAATACAACAACCCCTCATATATCACACTGGGGCCTCAAGCCCATTTATTTTAAGAGCCAGAGGTTCCTGTGTAAGTAGCAATCTTAGATTATAGATAGCCATTTCTCTCTAGCCTGGGCAGGGGCCGAGAGAGACAAACACAAAAACATATTTCACACTCCTTCTTGGTCTGAAGTTTTTAGGAAACCATTTCTTCCTTTCCCTGTCTCTAGAAGACTACCTTTGTAAATCAACTTGCAATCACATAAGCAGAATTTGCCCACGGTTTAAGCACTGAAGACTAAGCAAAACCCTCTGCATAGTCTGTTCCTTTCAACACAGACACAAAGAAGGTGAGAATGTGATGCTATCAAGGAACCAGCCCAGTCCTGGAACAAATGTACATGCCTCCTTGTTTTCAACCCTAAGAATAAGACTGCTCCAGGGCCCTCACCTAGGGAGATCTGAGGGCCTTGATGGGAATATCTCAGCCTTGGCCCTTTTCTATGGCTACAGGAATGTTGTTCCTGCAGGTACCATCTACATTGTAGTTCCAGTGCAAGATACCAAGGGCTGACATTCTCTGGAAAAAAAATCTAGGGCTTGTAGTGTTTGAGTACTGACTGGGTATAGTTGCAGACATGGGACCAGGGCAGCTGGGAAGGTGCTCAGTAGGTGAATCAGTAGGTGAATCGCATCTTTTGTGAATAGCCCAATTTGTCCAAGTTGGGATGGCAGGCCAGCTGTATCATTGGGGGTGGCCCACAGAGCAGCAGCAGTACATCATCCCCTGGGGCAGGCAGGTGCTCCTGGATCATKTCAGCAGTCACAAAGCCCTTGCTGTAGGCCCAATCTGAAGCACAGAGGAAAAGAGAGAACTGACCCATGCTGGCATAGGAATGTGGTACCATGAGAACAGATCATAGGAGAGGGCCCTGAAGGGCTCCTAAGAAGGTCTCAGGTTGTAACAGCAATTACAGCCATCCCTATCGCCCACTGGTAAACAGAAACCCAAAGGAAAGAGATCAGGAGACCACTGTGTCTCTGTACTCATACTTGGGACTTTGGCAGTGTCAGGGAAGGTTGGTTTCAGTAAATCTAAAACTTACAGAGGGGCAATGCCTGGATTTTGATAATGAGGGGATATCATTATCCACAGAAATGGGGAGGATACCTTTGGGGGGATGGTCCAGAGTGAACCAGAGTTTAAAGCGATTGGGGTACCGGGCCTGCAGCTCCTCTAAGTCTTCCCGCAGGATTATGTCCTTTTCCGTCTGAAATGCAAAGGGAAAGCAGAGTCTTGGAAACCTTCTCAGGCCTACATCAGACAAGATCTCTGACTAGGGGTTGTGGCGCATGCCTGTAATTCCAGCTACCTGGGAGCCTGAGGCAGAAGAATCTTGAGTTTGAGACTAATCTGGGCAACATACTGAGACCCTATCCCAAAAAAGAATAGAACAGAAAAAGAAAAAAGTTCACTGCTATTACAACTGTCCAACCAAGAGAGAAAAAGGCTGCTAAAGGCATGCTAAAGTTCTAGGGAATAAGCAACACTTGCAGCAGTTTTAAGGAGTTAGGATGAGGGGAACACCTTTATTTAGATATCATGAAGGAATAAAGGTGAAGTATTTAACCAAGAAGATCCAAGGGTCTTTGCTTAGCACTAGATGCCTTAAATCTCTTCTTCTTTCCTTGGGGATTAGGGAAGAAATCTGAGTCAATGCTCAGTCCTATTTCCTCCTTATTGTAGTAGAGGGTCCTGTACYTGGCAGAAGGGGCCTTGGCTCAGAGTCTAGAACAGGCACTAGGCCAGTTCTGCCCATTGGGTCCACTTCTCATGTCCATACCCACATAGCAACTCTGAAGTCTCAATATTGAGAAAAGCAAACTAACCTGGTTGGCAAAAAGCAGAAAGCACTGGGTTGGATCTTCAGRTACTTTCAGGATAGCCCGGATCAGCTGTAGCATTGGGGTGATACCTACATGAGATACACCATGGTGAGATGTGGTGGTCACATTCTGTTCTGTCCCGGGTCCTTAGCTGATTCACCCTTTCATCTTAATTCTACTCATTCACATTCCACTCCATTTTTCTTTAGTACCCTAATCCTCTGATCTCCTCCTTCATATCCCTGGCCATATCTGGACATCCTCAATATTTACATAAATTCATTAGATGGAAATCTTTGGAAGGAACCAACTTAAGACTCTTCCTCTAAAAGTTCTCTTGGAGGCTAGGGACACAAAAGTCATAGATGACTACATGTTCCTCCTGATTCAGTGATGAGAGTTCTGGAACACTGAATACATAGGGGTTGAGTATTTTGGAGTCAAGCAAAGCCAGATACTAATCCTACCTCTTGCCATTAAAAGTTGAATCTCATTTTCTCATCTATAAAAGGGAAATGCTAGTAGTATCTACTTCAGAGATACCTATGTGTCT